GCCGCTGCTGGGGGTGTAAAGCAGTAAGGGACTCAGAGAATCATGGAATTATGGAACCAGTGAGGTTGGAAAAGACCTCATCTAATCCAACCATCAACCCAGCACTGCACCTTCACCACTAAACCATGTGCCCAAGAGCCACATCCACACCTTTTGAATGCTTCCAGGGATGACTGCCACTGCTCTGGGCAGCCTGTGACACCCTTTCCATGAAGGAAGTTTCCCAATATCCAACCCAAACCTCCCCTGGCACAACTTGGGGCTGTTTCCTCTTGCCCTGTTCCTTGTTCCTTGGGAGCAGAGCCTGACCCCACCTGGCTGCACCTCCTGTCAGAGAGTTGAAGTGAGTGACAAGATGCTCCCTGAGCCTCCTTTTCTCCAGGAAGAGCCACCCCAGCTCCCTCAGCTGCTCCTCAGAAGTTCTCCAGACCCTTTTCCTTGTGCTCCAGACCCTTCCCCAGCTCTGTTCCTGTCTCCAGACACTCTCCAGCCCCTCAATGTCTTTCTTAAGGGGCAGGCACTGCCTTGGGCCTGTGGCCACACTGTGGCTGGTACACGCCGGTGCCATTGGACTCTTGCCCACCTGGGCACGCACTGGCCCATGTGTAAAGCTAAGTGTGGCCCCCTCCATGCTGCAGCCCCTCCATCCCCCATGGGTGCTGCAAATCCACAAGGGATGTCTGATTTGCCAGCTCTCTCCACACCGCGCCCTGCCGTGCCTCAGTCTCCCCCATCCCATCTCACCTTGCTGGCGGAAAGGACAGTGGAGACAGCACGCAGGGAGAACTCCAGCACCACCAGTGCGGCCACTCGGGAGCCCACCAGCGCCAGGACACCCGTCAGCACCAGCACGTGCAGCGGCTCCAGCACCGGCCGCGGCGCCCTGATCGCCTCTTTCTCTGCCTGCCTCTCCGGGTTGCTAGGGACCGCAGGGGAGACACTGAGCCGGGCAGGATGTCACCCAAAGTGGGGTGACAGCCTGAGACATCCTCCCCTGTGCTCTGCAGCAGAGCATGCAGACCCTGCCCTGCGCCCAGTGGGTGCCAAGAGCCAACCCCCCGCAATGGCAGATCCCCAAAACCAACCCCCCCCGAGGGGACAAAGGGCTGGTGCTTACTTCAGGCACTGGATGTAGAGATAAACCTTCAGGAGGCTGCAGAGCACTGAGACAGCACAGGCACCCACCAGCCCTGTGGGGAAAAGGCAGCAGTGGGTCACCAGTGTCCTCCACGCTATCCTCAAGCCACCCCCAAGCCACTCCTGGGGGCTCTCACCTTGCAGCAGTGCGTCCAGCAGTGCCCAGCCCCATGCCAGCCCGGGCAACGCCGGCAACCAGGACCCCAGGGAAAACATTTTCGATGGGGAAGAGCCACAGCATAGTCAGGCCCCGGCTCCAAGGTCCGCGGGGAGGAGCCTGGGAGTGGCGCCCTCCGGCTAGTAAATCATTACAGGGGCAAGCGAGGGCAGCTGGAGCTCAGCTCCTCTGGCCAGTGCTCCAGCTGCCCCGGAAAGGGAAAATTAGGGCATGGAGAGCGACGCAGTGATGGGATGCACACGGTGCGGCCTGGGGACCATCAGCACCTTTACCCACCCTGCTCCAGCATCGCTGTTACCCTCTGCACCCCAAGGCATCACAGCATTTCGCATCCTCTTTCTGCCCCCTCAAAGACCCCAAAATGACGCCAAAAGTAGAAAAACCCCTTTATTAACGTCTGTGGTGGTGATGAGAGCCCGTCCTACGGCCCCGGGCGCTGCTGGTGCTGCACCATGTTCCTGAGCTTGTCCCAAAAGAAGAGGCTGAGGACAGTGTGGGGGCCGAGGCGCAGGTAGACGGCGCCGATGCCCTTGTACAAGCCCAGCAGCCCCTCTTTGCTGGAGATTTGCAGGATACAATCCAAAAACCCCCGGTAGAGCTTGCCCTGGAGAGAGAGGAGCTGTCTGTGCACTCCTGCTGGATACAATCCCAGGAAAAGCCATACCCCTCTGCCATACCCCAAATGGCCTTACCGTGCCATCAGCATCCACCGGCTGGTTGTAGAGACGGGTGCTGATCACATCGAAAGGAGTCATCGTCACTGCCACAGCCACACCGCTCACCATGCCCCCTGCCAGCACCGCGGCCCAGCTGCCCTTCACGAACCACTGCAGGAAGTGCCAGTGTCAGCTCTTCCCAAACGTAAAGGGGAGCAGGGGGGGCCGGCGGCAGACGGATCCAGTGAGCTTCCCCCTCACCTGA